CCGCTGATATGTAAAGAAAGCCATTTACATTTTCATGATTTGTTTCCTACCTTTGCATATTTGAACAGTAACCAGCAGAAAGGTTATCAGATACTGCCACAGGATCATGCTTTACACGGGCACTTTAAACTGAAATAGATTAATCAGTCAGACTATTACATAAAAAGACATTTCAAACATTCTCCTGTTCATAATATAACCACACAAACAAAACAGACGGTTCTCTTTCTCGAATACTTTACACTGTATCCTTAATTGGTTACTCATCTACCAAACAGGAGTCAGAAAAGAGCAGAAAAATATGTCCTTGCTCCTTGAACACCCTGAGACTGGTGATTTATAGAGCACGCCTTTTGTATAGTACAGGTTCTGCCTTTCTCCAAAGAATGTAAGAATATGAAATGTTTTTATTGTAATCAGAGTCTTACCTTCAATGCAGGGTAACGTGGTGTGTCAAAGCTCCTGAATGTTAGGTTATCCTGCGTTTGTACCTCCACATATTTGGAGGCCTTCAGTTCAGGAAGTGAGAAGAACAGCACAGCAATGCTCCAGCACAGCAATGCTCCCGCCCAGCATGCTTTCGCATAGATAACCACACCCCCTTATGCCAGGTCATTGTGTTCACAGGTGAGAAATTCCCATGAAATCGCTCCCCCTTCCTGTGTGATCACACCGGTTATGCTTGTTGCTGACTGAGATTATTCTGATCTGGAACCAAAAATCTAGCATTTGTTTTTCAAAGTGCTGCGATTTATCAGGGAGGAATAACAATGAAAGTGAAACATGTTCAAGGGATTTTCCATAAGTCACTTCTGGAAAACCAAGGCCAGTTCATTATGAGCTCACCTCCATAAAGCAGTTAAAGATTTCCCAACACTTTATTGCGGATTACAGTACAGTAATTCGTAAAAGCAGACATATGTATGAGCTGATCATCCAATCTGTGGTTTGGTGAAACATTTCTTAAATTTCCACTCTGTGACCGACTATCTGACTCAAAGTTTCCTCTTTAGAAAAATAGTTCTACAATAAATAATTTGGACCTTTTGATAAAGTCTTAAATACCTTACAAACATTACAAAGATATAGATCACTGCATATCTGTGGTATCTCCTGAACATGACACACACCCAAAGAGATAACAAGACTTTCAGCCTTGTTATCTCAGCCTTGTCACCAGTGCTTAGCGCTAGGTGCATTACTTTTAAAATGTGTTTTGTACAAAATCATTGGATTTACTCAAAAACAGCTCAGCTCAAAGTTAAAGTGAAACTAAAGAGAGCAGAGTTAAAGAAAAAAGGCAGATGTCTGATGGGAATATTAGTCATAAAAGTAGCCTGCTAGACAAACTGAAACTTTGACCAGATGTTAGCACTAAATGAAAAGTTATGTAATCACACTAGTCAGTGTTTTTCATACACTTGAACTGAAACAGAGTAGACAGAGTCACTGACTGGCTAAAACATTTTTTAGCAGCTAGCCTCCCTGAAAAGTCTTAGTTTTATTTATTTTTGTGTAGAAAATAATGTTTCGTGTGCAGCTTTAATAATGGATTGGATTTATGTAGCGCTTTTCAAGGCACCCAAAGCGCTTTACAATGCCATTATTCATTCACACACACTGGTGGAGGCACCTACGGTTGTAGCCACAGCTGCCCTGGGGCAGACTGACAGAAGCAAGGCTGCCATATCGCGCCATCGGCCCCTCTGGCCAACACCAGTAGGGTAAAGTGTCTTGCCCAAGGACACAACGACCAGGACAGAGAGCCCGGGGATCAAACCGGCGACCTTCCGGTTACAGATACGCTGCCCAACCCCCTGAGCCACGGTCGTGTTTGTGTGTATTACATAGGGAAACACTTCAGCACCAAAAAGCTGCATGAGTTGATGTCAAAACCAGGATGTGCATTGTGTGCTATAATGCACAAGAAAGACAGGATGTTATTGATTTTAAGATATACACAGATTTCTGCCACTGTGGCTAACTTTTAACAACTCTGAGAAATGCCGGGACTCACTGTCCCCTGTGTTTGGTTCCAAAGGCTGGTAGTGTCTGACCTCCCATTACAGCTTCATAGTTTATCTTGAATGGCTTTCTCAGAAAAAATTACAGTGTTACGTATGCAGCCGCTATTCTTTAAGTTAAAACGTAAGGAATAAAATTTTGAAAAATGGTAAAAAAAAAAAAAAAAAGCAAGCATATTTTTACAGATGTGTACTAAAATGTTAAAGAGCTGGACTTTCAGTGGATCAACACTCGCCGGATCATGCTGCTGCTGCCACCGCACAAATAAATGGAAAGTCTTTCCAAGCTCAGCATTGATTGCAAATGCAATCTACATTTCTGAAAGCCTTTACCACTGTGGCCTGAACTTTGCCCGCAATGTTATCCTGTCATCAGGGTCAGGCAGGGTGATAGGATGTATACTTCAACAGACACACAGCTTTAGAGATCCTTCCCTTGCAGTAGTAGGGCTGACAGAGAGGAGCACCAGGCTTGTGCAGTGTTATTGTTGGCTGAAAAAAGAACATCCCAGATGGCTCGCAGGAGACGAGGCCGTGGCGGCAATGGACAGCACCATCAACAGGCTGCCGCGCACAATCAAAGAGGAGGCCCTCGCAGGGTAAGCCTGCTTCTGTCATTAGCAAAGAGAAACAACTGCACACTGTTTTTCAAATAATAAACAACAGGGAGCCCCACGAGATCCCCTCTTATTTTGTTTTTGTGAATATATTTAGAGGACACTATAATGAAGTGAGGTATATCTCTGCCTTATACTGCATTATTATTCAACATGCTTTGAATATTACTGAGGTAATCTTTTCCACTGTGGTTATATGACTGGGATAAGTTAACCGATTAACTCCGTGGAACAGCATGACTCATGTCTGCAGTAGCAATAATTAATGTCAAAAGGAATTAAAGACTTAACACGAAAACAATAATTATTTATTCGAATTTTAATTCTTACATGCTGGCTTGTGCGTCAGTATGTGTATAAGCTATGAAGGCTGAGATCAGAATACAAGACAAAAAGTAAGAAGCATAGGAGCATGTTGCTAATGTTTACAAGGTCAAATTAATATTTTGCACTGGTATACTAACCAATCGTATATTTGAACACAACTCAAGGAGCAAAAGACACTTAAAAAGAGATCAAGAGTTTAAAGTATATCTTTCAGCACACCAAAGGATAAAGGTGGACATGCATGCAACACAAAGTCTATAGCATCTTTGAACATCCATGTGCTAAAATTGGTAAAAAAAAACTACCTTTAAGTTATTATCATACAGAGAGGAGGCACAACCTGCAAACTTACCACATCTCATATATTTCTATTATAAGTAATTCACTTAAATGCTTTAATTTTCTAAAGTGTTCCTGTATCTTACAGTTTCTGTTTTTATGAACCCCGGTGTTTATCAAATGCAACATGACTATACCAATAACATCCACTTCTGGGCAGAAGTCTGAACACGTGCAAGAGATTGGATAAACTTGAAACACGAGCAGTTAGGAATGAAGCAAGAGGGAACATGTTTCGTCAGTAATTACACATAGTTTTGTGTCATATAATGTATTCTGGCAACCTGTAAAATTTAAATGATTTTGAGAAGAGATGACTTTTTGCACCAACTGTATCTGAATGTCTCCATCTGGTCTTTGTGTTCAGACTCCACGGGAGCCAGCAGATTTTGCCAAGTCTACAGGTTTTGAATCTGATATCCCACATGACAAGCTCACCATTGCTCAAGCACGGAGGGGGACACCAGGTTGCACTTATCACCACCTTTTAAAAAAACTCTGAATACACAGGGAAGATAATTCGGAAAAGAAAAGTTAACCCAAGATGTTTTGCTGTGCTGTAATTGTCTGATATCAGTTATAAAAAAGTGATTTCATTATCAGCATTGTTACATAACTGCCAGTTATTTTGATGATTCAGGGTTTGATCACAGCTGTGAATCTGACTGAGTGACAAATCAGCAAAATAATGATTAACTAACAATTAAAAGCATCACTGTGTCATTAGAATTCCATATTTGTAACAGCAAAAATATAAACTGCTCCAGTTTTATGTCATGACATGACTGCATTTAAAGACCACCCTTCATGTTTAGCTAACCGCCCCGTGAGAGTCTACGCTGATGGAATCTTTGATCTTTTCCATTCGGGACATGCTCGAGCTCTGATGCAGGCAAAGAATGTGTTCCCAAACACTAATCTTATAGTAGGAGGTAAAGTATGCCTTTCATTCGCTCGCCACAGTAACGCATGCACAAAGTAACACTCTTTAACCTTCAGGGTCATGAAAATAGACACAGAAGGCCTCCAAAGAGTCACGTGTACACTGCAGTGAAAAAGCATTTGCCGCCTTCCTGATATCTTTTTTTTTTTTTTTTGCATATTTGTCACACTCACATGTTTCAGGTCATCAAAGTAATTTTAATATTAAACAAAGACGACTCGAATAAATATAAATGCAGTTATTAAATGATGATTTCATTCAGTAAGTGAAGAACATTCTCCAAACCTTCCTGATTGTGTGTGAAAATACTTCCATTGTTAAATCTTAAAGTAAGTGTGACTAACTAGTGAAAAACTGAAGTATCAGTATGGAAAGATTTACAAAGCCATTTCTAAAGCTTTGGGACTTCAGTGAACCACTGTGAGAGCCATTATACACAAATAGAGAAAACTCGGAAAAACAGTTGCCCTTCTTAGGAGTGTCCAGCATACCAAAATTACTCCAGAACAACATCTGGGGAAGTGCAGGGTCAAGGTTTTAATCAAACAAAGTTTCATCTCACATTGTGATGACCCCCCAAAACCTTTGGAGAAATATTCTGTGCACTGACAAAGGAAATCTTGAACTTTTTGGAAGGTTTGAGTCTTGTTACATTGGACATGAAACTAACAATTTCATAAAAAGAACATCAACACATGGTAGTGGTAGTGTGATGGTCTAGGGCTGCTTTGCTGCTTCAAGACCTACCTGGAAGACTTGAAGGAACCCTGAATTCTGGTCTCTGCTACCAGTTTCTTCTTCAGCTATCTGAAGGAGAATGTCCATCTATTACAGGGAGTGCAGAATTATTAGGCAAATGAGTATTTTGTCCACATCATCCTCTTCATGCATGTTGTCCTACTCCAAGCTGTATAGGCTCGAAAGCCTACTACCAATTAAGCATATTAGGTGATGTGCATCTCTGTAATGAGAAGGGGTGTGGTCTAATGACATCAAC